GAACTGTGAGCTCAGCCTCGTTACCGGCCGTTTCTGCACCGGCATCGACCAGTGAACTTATGACCGCCAAACAATCATGTTTGTCAAATCTGCGATCTTCCCAGGCTCTCATTGGCCTCTCAGTCATGGTAAATAATTGCAAAGCTCTTTGTAATGGCGTTCCTCCGTCTGGCCCACGCCAGCTCAAGTTACCACCCTGTTTAGCAGCAGAGTGAACAAACCCAGGATGTTGAGGTAAGCTAGCGCCGTAGTAGAGAGCCCAGATTGGCAGCTTCGCTCCGAGTTGAATCAAAGTCTCAAATGATGCGGGTGTCCGTTCATTAGCCCCAATAATTACTGCGCCTAGGGGATTTATATGAAGGGAACCCATGTTGAGTATGCGCCACTTTTGATTTAATGTGAGGGTGAAAATGCATATGACGCGGTTCCACGTGTAATTTGTTGTATGATCCCAAGCCAGATCGGCCTCGAACTCGGCATTCACGTCAGCTTCATGTTCACACAGAAGCTCGATGACCGCATAATGGTCTCCTAATGCTGCGAAGTGGAGTGGTGAGGGAATAGCTCCAAGCCGCTCTGGACCTCTGGTGGGTGCACTATACTGGAGAAGCAATTTGCAGGTCTCCCGAAACCCGCTGAACGATGCAGCACAGAGAGCAGAGAACAGGACATCTTTTTGGGTGTTCTGGGAACCACACCAGTATTTAACGACCTCTTTGAAGCCAAAGTAGGCAGCAAGACAAACAACGTCGTCAGCCAAAAGATTAGCGACAGGAATCGATGGATATGACCGATGAAGATGGCCAATCAAATGTCGAAGACACCTCATGGCCTGTTCTTCGTCGCTGTGGTACATTGCGAATCCCAGGACGCTTTGTGTTCTGATAAATTGGCACCCTGCTCTTCGGAAGTCATCACATTTGGTCCGATGTTCGACTTTTGCGCCATGTTGAATGAGTGCGTCTGCTATCTGGAGATCCAAGCAGACGGCCAACATGAGCGCAGAAGGCTCTTCATCAGACGTTCCTTCATTGAGCAGGGCACCTGCCTCTAACAACCGCAGAACGATGGCTTTGAAGACCTCGCGCTGTTCTGGTATCATTCCCACGTACGAGTCCGGCTCTTCTATCAATAGCATGAGCAGAGGTGCTCCGTAGTCTGTAGTATATTTGTCTGGATCAGCACTGGCGTCGAGGAGCTCCACGAAGAGTTCGAAATTAGGATCCACCGTCGCAAGTTGAAGTGGCGACCAAAGTTCATCCATTATTTTTACCTCCAAATCTGGGTCTTGACCTGACTTGAGAAGCCATGAGACTATCCTTGAGTTGCTTGCATGTGCCGGAAACCCAAAAGGACTGCTTGCAGCGTTGAACTCGATGCAAAGTTTGAATAGATTTTCAACGATGGATGTGACGGTTATGTCATTTTCTTGCGCGAGATCAAGTGGTTGGTTCGTCGGGCCAGAGCGTTCGATAAGGGTTACCACCGCAAGCCAGGGAGAGTCGTCTTTCCAGCTTGTTTCTTACATATTGTTCGAGAGACAATACAAGATAAGCTGAATGTGTTCATTGAAGGCTTGGTCGGTTGCTCCTTGGACGATGAGCTGCGCGCTGTGGGCGATTTCGTTGTCTTCTCTCTCGGGCATTATGGAAGCGACGTTGACAGCGAAATCAGAGGCATTCCCAAATGGCTGTCCATTGAATTGCCGGTGCAAAGGAGAGAAGTTTAATTCCGCTTGGCTGCTGGGGTTTTGGAGTTCATTATCGATTATCTGATTTGTCAAATGCAAAATCATGCCTCGTCATGGTTAGCTAAAAATACTTGTACGGTCTGAGTCTAATTCACTTGGCAACACGTTGTTTTGAAATCTTATCCACGGAAGTGTGTGAGCCCACATCAGTTGCATAGGTGCGGGAGTTGGCGTGCGGATCCAGATTTCCATGCCCTCGGGGGTCTTTGGACTCACAGCTGCGGAGGGCAGGTCAACGATTCGCTTGCGAAGTAATCGACCTAGGATCAACGGTACACACCTGTCATGTACATGGTCAACGTATCTGGTTGATACCGACTCCGCTCCTTCTTGAGTGTGTTGCATGAGACCTTTTTGCGGTTACATGTACAGTATACCACGCTGGATTTGCCTTCTTGCCCTCTCTTCAGAATCCTGTGATCAGTGTATCGCCAGACATCCGCACTCGCGTTTTTCCGAATATTCCAGAAGCGCAGTTGGGCCTCAAGTTCCGATTTTCTGGAGAATATTAGCATAGATCAAAATTGAGACACACCGGGTAGTAAACTCACGTTACGAGAAATCCATCTTCTTTAAGCTTGTCTCTGATCTTTTCCTGAGATAGGCGGTCGACCACGTACATCATCGCGATTGCAGTCTTACGTCGTGTCCATTCTGGATCGTCGCAGCGCAATCTCTTGGAGCGAGGCATCTTTCAAAGTCCCGAAAATTGACAAATGAGCGCTCGTGTGCTGACTCTCATTCATCGGCATAGAAGAGAAAGTGATCGGCAACTTGGTAAGGGAATCGCTTGAGCCAAGTTCTTCCAGATCGCGGACATTGAAAGAAGAGGAAAAACAGCGACGCTCGCTTCAAGGCAGCCATGAATGTGGGAAGTCGAAGAACAAGGCTGTGCCTTCAGCTGCCCAACAAAACCGCAATTGGTATCCCTGGAAGCCTGGCTCACGTGATGTTGCTGACGTCTCCGTACTCGAAGCTCTTGGCGCCAGCTCATCAGTACAGAAAAGGTCTCTGCAGGCTTCCAGGGGCTCACTGCAGACATGACCTCGGTGATTGGCCTGATCCAATGTCTGCGAGCCATGAAAGACATGATTCTTACTAGTGAGCGACCAGCCTTTTCCAAAGTTACTTACTACTGGGGTTAACATCATCGCACAAACTTCCGTTGGATCATCAATGTGTGTTTACGGCCATAAAACGGAACGTTTACTGAGCACTAGGTAAGTGAACTCTCATTGTCCACGTCCTCAAGTATCAGGCTTGCGAGTTGTGAGGTCAGCGTCACCAGGTGCTGTGTATCTGTGGCAACTTACTGCATTTCACGAGAACTAGAAAAAGAAAACGAAGCCATAAGTGAACGCCATTTGTTGTGAAGATCGGAATTCGCCGCTTTTAATAGCATGCGAAATAGGCTAAAAAGGCCGGAAGACAGTGCACCTGCCGCTATTCCGATAGCGCAATGACAAAATAATTTAGGAGATCATGCCTCTTACAACCACATCGACTCGTTCAATTAATTCAACTTGAGAACACGTGGGTTCCATGCTGACTTCAAAGGTCCACTCTTTCCCGGGATAATACCACCTATCTGCTTCTGCCTGCCAAGTGTTCTAGACCTTCGATCAAGAAAGAAGGACAGAAACGTGAAGAAAAAAAAGAGAAAATAAAAAGAAAAAATTTAGACAGTTAGCTTTGCGCATGCAGGTGTTTAAACCTACCGAGCGGAACGAGACTCCAGTCTCATTAAAGATCTAAAACTCAGCCACAATACGGCGAAAGCGCAGTCAGCGGATTGTCAGCTTCCATCTTCCACATGTGTGCACTGGGTGGCGGAAACGAGTATTTGGGAGGTCGGCATCACGAGGCAAAGCTCCTCGGTTTCGTTATCGGACTGAGTACCAAACACGCCCTACGAGGCTGGGTTATGAGTCTACCGTGGACTGAATGGTATTGGGGGGAAGGTATTCCTAAATATAAAGGTCGAAACCAATGTCATCGCTTCAAGTTAAGCACGCCGAGTTGTAATGAATAGACCACAGCTTAAACCTACCTGCAGGTGGCGAGTCGCGTGGTCTCGGTGGTCGGGGGCTGTTGATGCGGAGCCGGAAGCCGATGATATTTTCCGTCCGCTGAGGGAGCAACATCGCTTGCGCTGCGGTAGCTGCAGAGAGTTTTCACAAACAGACGCTTTGAAGACAAGCCCGCGCGGGATGTCGCGTTGCCCGACAGACACCAGACTTCTGCAGTATTAACTCACACCGCCTGCCCCAAACGAGAAGACGCGATTCAGCTCTACGGCAAGGCCATGTTTCTGCCAAAAGGCACGATGCTTTTTTTGTGGGCCGCGTGGTTGCAATAACAGAAGTCAGAGTCATAGTTGCTCCAATATTACTGCCAAAATTAGGACATCAAATATATGCTAAACCACTTGACACAATTTCGCTGATTACCGCTTTTAAGGTTTGCAGCGCAGCCGTTCTTGGTAGACAGAGCAGAGCCCTAAATGCCACAGCAAATCCAGTGACAAGCTCCTTCTTCGCTACACCGCAATCAATAACGATCATCGCACTGCCCGATAGCATGCCGTGTATAGGGAAATCAACCTCTTTAACCTTATGCACCTGACTTATTTACGTGCATCGAGCCGAAGCTCCCGATAATATGAGAATAATTAGAATTGCACATAAACCAAGACATGATTAATACTGAGTGAGCAGCTCGCTCTCTGGGGCATTGATTTTCATCCGCTCATTCCTTCTCGGCACAAACATTCTTTTATTCCTTTCTTTGGTGGTTCGTCACGATGCGTAACCACGCTACATTCATTTTACTGTCGCTCCTTGCTTCCGGCGAAGGAATTTTCGCTCGGCCCCACGATCATTCGCCTGTGCATAGACACCACGTTCGGAATGGCTTGATTTTCCCCAGGGCAGATGGCAATGGCACATCTACGAACAACACACAGGTGCCTGTACCTGTGCCACCACCGGCAACATCACGCAAAGCCAGCTCGTCGCTATACACGGCAAGCCACACCCCGTCGGCGTCCGGAAGCCACACTTCATCGGCCCCACTCTCGAGCCGGCCCCCGGCGTCGCAGACGGCATCCTCTGCGCCTGCCGCAAGCACCACACCCGCTGCGGAGAAGACTGTTTCAAATGGAGAAGTCGCAACCGGCTTGGCGATCGGCACAGTTGTCGCAGCCGGAGTCGGAGGAGGTTATCTGTTGCTCGCCGGCCAATACTTCAGCATGGCCGCCGGAAGTGTTGCGACGGTCACCGGCGCATCCGGTATCGCCTCCGGACTGAGTTCACTTTCGGGCCCGGAACCGCAGCAGGTCGACAAGCCCGAGGACCCGCCCGAGGACAACGGCGACCAGAACCAGCCCACCCCGTCTGTTCAAAGAACCGACCAGCCGTTCAGCACCTCGCTGCCGCTGGACTTGCCCACCACGTCGTCATTCCCGTTCTCCTCCACTTTCACCTCGTCGCAAGCGTCAGCGACCTCCAGCGGACTGCCCAAGTATATCATCGTACCCGACAGCAAAGGGAAGGCAACCGATTTCGACTCAGTAGAGTCTAGCTTGACCAACTCGGCCGGCTCAAACCTGGTGACTGTCGAGAACGACGAAGACAAGAGCACCCTGTTTCTGTCCGCTCCGCTGTCACCCCAAGAAGCGAAGGATTTGGAAACGAAGCCTGGGGTATTTTATTATCTGCCCGATTGCACCGCCAACATGCTAACGCGAGAGAATAGGTCGGAGCCGTTACCGAAGATATTGACCTGGGGGATATGAACAAGATGGTGGCGGAAGAGCCCTACAACCCAGCCGATGCCGCCGGCCCATCTGTGCCACCTCCGGCTTTGACGAAGGACCCCCTGGCTTTGGCCAAGCAGCCACAGAAGGTTGTGAGGCAATCGGGATACGATGTCGAGACGGAGAACCCAGCGAAACCCTCGCACGAAGATGCAGGAGAACTTTCTACACTTTCTCAAGAACCTGGCAAGCCGAGAGGATCTACTTTTGCATATGACGAGGTCGCTGGGCAGGGCGTTACGGTCTACATCCTTGGCACGGGCATGAACCTGAATTCACCGGTAAGCTCTCAACACCATTCACACAGTATCTTCATCTTCGCTAACTGGCGGCCCCACCTCAGGACATCCAAGATGCTGTCGGCACTAAGGACTTCATCTTCGCCCCTGGTTCAGCTGAAACGAAGACAGACGACGATCCACTCATTGGATACCCAGATGGCACCTGCATGGCGTCCAAGATATTTGGTCCCAAGTACGGTGTGGCGAAGAAGGCAAACGTCGTTATGGTCAAGTTGTCCGGAGGGAGCGGTGCGATGGGTATGATCACCATGACGGAGATGCTCACTGCGCTGGCCATGGTCAAGAACGACATCACCACGAAAAAGCTCAAGGGCAAAGCCATCGTGAACCTCTCGTATACCAGTGAGTGAATCCGATCGTCTTTAAAGAAGTCGAACCGTATTTTTGCAATTGCTAACGCAACGCAGCACCAATGTCCGATCCGGAAGCCATCGCCGCATACAAAGAGATTCTCGTCAAGATGATGGACGACGACATTGTCCTCGTCGCGCCAACCGGTATCTCCAACAATAACAATGGCTCCGAGGCAAACGACCAGTACCCCGCCGCCTTCGCCAAAGACACGGCCCTCATCGCAGTGAGCGGAGTCAACGGCAAGGGCGCTCGCATGAGCTGGTCACCTGGCTCCGAGAAGGATGGCGTCACCGCAGCTGCGCCCGTCACGGGCAGGTGCGCCTACAAGAACCTCGACCCCAAGAGCAAGGGGGGCGTGACGAAGTCGCAGGACATCTCGAGGCTGTACTACTCCGACGGCGTCGCGGCGGCCACCGTCGCCGGCGTTGCTGCCGGACTCATGGCGCAGGCCGAGTACAAGACCCAGCTGCAGGTAGAAGGCAAGGTTGCCGCCAACGTCAAGGAGCTTGTGGCGGGGCTTGCGTGGGTTCGCGCCGAGGGTGGTACGCCGGTGGTCTGGAACGGCGTCCGCCCGTATGGAAATGCGTGCGCGATTGGGAAGAGGCAAGAGGGCGATGCGTGCAGCGCGGCTCCGAGTGCCGCGCCCACCGCGGCGCCGACTGCGGCCCCTTCTGCACCGGCGTTGCCGCCCAAGCCGGTATACAACGTTCCCGGCACGTGGAAGAAGCAGTACGAGGGCGATGTCAACTACAGCTTCGACTATACCACCTCCTCCGACTCTGCCAGCGATGGCTATACCGGCGACGACCCGTTGTCATGGTGTCTAGGAAAGTGCACAAGTAAGCCGCATCCGCACGCTGATCGGTATCACGACAGAAGCTAACGATTCAACTTTGAACTAGATGCGTGCGTGTCTGTTTTCCTCACCCGTGTGAATCAGAAGCAGACGGATGGTTACAACACATACTTCATTTGCAACCAGTAAGTCCCGTTGTCGCCCTCTTTCTGCAGGTCATCGCTAACACCCATAGATATGACAAAGTCTGGTCTAATGACTACCTGCAAAAGCTATCCTCCAGTGACTACGACGCTGGGATTGCGCTTGAGTAAGTTATCCCGGTTAGAATGTGTCTTTCTGTAATCGGAGCTAACTTCTTGGCAGCAAATTGTAGTGTGCGGTGCGTTGTTTGCCGAAACGGGACATGAGTAGTATGAAGATACATGAATGAACAAACGTTGATTGACAACAATCTGACTGACTTGCTGAAATTATTTGTAAGCGCAACCGCAATTCGTATGCCTACCAAGCCCGTACATCGCACCAGTAGCGGCGCCAAAACAAACCACCTAATTGACTACGTCGTGCTTACTTACCATGTCTAAATTCCGAGAACCCAACCCGATGGTACAGCATCATGGTGCCATTAGTAAAGGTTTGTTACGTATTAGCATTTCTAGCAAACGTGGATAACAAAAAACAAATAAACAGTTCTTCACCTCCAACTCGATGACGAATATAAGTTGATATTTTGAGCCAGGCGAGGGGGCGAAGAAGAAAACCCGCGAATGGTGAGACGTGACCCATCGTGATATTCCTGGTATTTCCCCTCTCTATTATTCTCTACCTCGGGGTATTCATCTACTCAAAAGGTACCAAAAATCGACCAGACGTGTCCTTCTCCAATAAAACACCGCAACTCTCAACCGAAAAGCTTGTCGAGGATCTTTTCAAACAAGTTGCTTCAAATCAAGTTAGCAATGGACCACCGGTAAAATGGACAAAACCTTACCTTGCTGGCTGCTGAACATAGTTTCGCTCGTACTCGTCAATCTCGTCCTTGTTGCGGTACAAGTCAACCTCCTCGGGCTTGAAGATCCTGGTGCGCTTCCTGAATCTCAGGATGTCGAACTTGTATCCGAGATATAAAACCGGGAACACTCCAACCATGGTGTACCTACGTATCCCAGTCAGTAAACTCCAATCGCCCAACGTTATGCAACATCACTTACGAAAACAAAAAGTCGGGAATATTCCAATACCCGTCCAGAGGCAGAAAGACGGTGTACCCTCCCACGAAAGTCATGATGAACGTCCCAATCAGCCCATACCACGCCGCGTACGGCTGGAACCAGGCCTTGTACGGCAACGAATCGCGGCTAATGCCCTGCGCCTTCAGAGCACGGTAGAAGCCCAGGTACGCCGTGCACATGCACGAGAAGTTAATCAGCTGCGACGCCGTCACCAGACTCACGAACCAGTCCAGCACGACGGCCGTGTTGTTGCTCAGCTGGAGGAAGCTCAACAACCCGATGAGCAGCACGGCGATGACGCAGTACACCGGCACGCCCTTCTTGGTGCACTTTTTGAACAGGGCGGGCGCTTTGCCCTCGAGCGCGAGGCCGTACAGCGAGCGCGAGGCGCAGTAGACGTACGAGTTGCCCGCGGAGAAGGCCGCCGTGAGGACCATGGCGTTGACAATGTGCGGGAGGACGCCGATCTTGAGGCGGTTCATGGCGACGACGTAGGGCGAGGCGGCGGCGCCGGGCTGGCCGTCCTTGAAGGCGGCGGTCATCTCGGGGTCGTTGTAGGGCACGAGGATGCCGACGCAGAGGGAGCCGAGGACGAAGAAGGCGGTGAGGCGGTAGAAGACGGCGTTGAAGGCGCGGGGCATGACCCTGCGCGGGTTCTCGGCCTCGCCGGCGGCCATGGCGACGTAGTCGGGCCCGGCGATGGTGAAGGAGGCCTGGATGAGGCACTGCAGGAAGCCGAGGAAGCGGCCGAGGCTGCCGGAGTAGTAGAGCTCTGCGAAGGCGCCGGGGTCGTTCCAGTAGCGGAAGCCGAAGCGGTCGCCGAGGGGGTTGCCGCCGAGCATGACGATGAAGGTGAAGATGATGAGGCCGACGATGAGGAGGAACTTGCCGAGGGCGGCCCAGAACTCGGTCTCGCCGTACCACTGGACGGCCATGACGTTGATGAGGCCGTAGAGGACGAGGATGATGGCGATGATGCCACCCGCGGGGACGGCGTCGCTCCAGAAGTGGATGATGAGGTTGCAGGCGACGACTTCGAAGGGGACGAGCGCGGCTTCGAAGACGAAGAAGTTCCAGCCGGCGGCGAAGCCGAAGGCCTCATCGACGTAGCGGCCGGCGAAGCGGATGAAGGGGCTTGAGATGGGGAGGTAGGTGACCATTTCGGCCATGCTGAGGGTCACGGCCAGAATGAAGGTGCACCAGATGCTGAAGGCGAGAAACAGACTTGCGGGCCCGCCGTTAAGCAGACCTCTGCCAATTTGGACCTGAATGAGGCATGTGAGATTGGGTGACGGGGTTGGAGGAGCTAGACATTTCAACGTACATAGAGAGCGGTACCTATTTGTGACATGTCAGTCTTGAGATCGTGCAGTTCGGTCGGGGATGTGGAGACGTACCGATGGTGCCTCCGATTCCAATCAGCTGAATGTGCCTAGATTTCAATTTGCGATGCGTTTGATCCTGTTTGTTTCCGGAATCGAGCGAAGAGCGGAAGCCGCCGTCGAACGGCTCGCCGTAAGGCTCTCCGACGGTTTTCTCGTCAACATGGCGGTCGTGGTTGGCGTAGCCGTAGCCGGGCAGATTGTCGCGGTCCCCCGCGCGGTCAATGCCCGTGGACGACATGATCGGAGATGTGGGGATCGGGGCCGGTTCGGTCGGCGTGGAGGATGCGCTACTCAATCGGAGCGGCGTGGAAAAGAACCGATCTGGTCGATGGAAGTCCTCTGTAGTTCGAGTAGAAGACGGGTAGTTGGGGTAGTGAACAGCCTTCGTGAAGCCACGAAACGCGCGCTTCAATTACCGAATGGCTTTGAGGAGGAGACAGAAGAACTGGACTTTGAATTCCATGTGGCTTTGCGCGGAAACGCTGGCGACGCCTGTTGATGTTCGCCTGGGGAAGATACCTGCAGCACAGAGAGTTGACCGAGAGCGCAATTGAGCAGGAAGAAGGACGAGAGAGCCAAGCTGGGCTTGCGCAGCGATACGGGGGACTGCAGATCCCTTTTAAGAAAAGCACCGAAAATTCCCAGAGATCAGGGACCAGAGCACCGCAGCGTCGCAACCTACACAAAGGCGGGATAGTGGGGGGAGGGGGAGGGAAATGGTGAAGCTGCAAGGAAGCGGGTTCCCCATTTGCGAACCATCCTCGACATGGTAAGGGCACACAGGCGGCGCACGACTGGGGGAGCAGAGGACGGGGAGGGGACGAGGAGGAACCCATGCTCTGTGAATGGCTGCAGGAGAGTCTCTTGTCTGCGGATCAGCGAGCCGTACGATTTCTCCTCGGGGCTAGGCAGGTTGCAGACAGCAGCCCGAGCACATGTCGATTTAAACCTCGCAGGGTCCAGGCCCGTTGCGTCAAAGTTTTGCGCCGAATTATTCCCAATACTCGAACTCTGCATCTCCTCGCCGCCAACGTCGGAAAAACAACTCAGGGTTTCCCACTGCGCTGTGACGCGAGCGCTCCTGGTGAGTGACGACATGGGGCGCTGAAAGGGAAAGATAGCGAGGCAGATAACGAGTCTTGTTGGGAGCTCTCTCGAGCAGGGGATGGGAGTTCGTTGCAGCGCATATCTCTGTTGGTGCTGTTTTGGCCGCAGACGTCAAAAGCGGACCACGGGGAAACAGAAACGCAATCAGCCAATGTCCATTCGCTGCCTGCTTCGTTCGGGCGAGATACAATGTCGCAGTGGCAGCCATCAGCAAAGAGTCTCAATCCAACGTAGCCATAATTGTCTCACGGCCGGCAGCAGCTTATTCGTCGAGGCGTTCCGGCGCATCGGTGTAGCCGGTGCATACCACAATGCGACACCACGCGGTGAGACGCGCCAATTCGAAGTCCAGTTGGATGGGACAGCCGATGCAGAACGACGAGACGATACAGCCAACGGGAGGCTTCATTTACGGATTGCGTGCTTCGTGCGGGTGAAGGCGCCGCTGCAGCTGCCGTCGCCGCATGGATGGCACGTCCGGTTATTTGGACCACATACTGTATCCTAGTGCTGGTCTTTTGTGTTGGACCTTATTCCCTGTGGTCTGGCCAGAAAAGAGACGATGCTGTGGCCAAGCAAGCGAAGCTTTTCCCTCAAGGAATGCGGCGTCCGGGACAAGACGGCCATGTGCGGCCTTGGCTGTTCGCGGGGGGCGTGTTTTCTGTCGAAGAATCTTTTCCTCCGACCATTTTCCTCTCGGCGGCGAGGCATTCAAGCATTGTCAGCTTGTCAGGTCAGCTGCGCTGCTGAAATGACGGGGGATTCGCGTCGCTCGTAACCAGGAATCCCATTCCTATTCCCCAATTGCGTTACCGCAGGCTTTTGATTGCGGCTCTTGGCACCTTGGCGGAGAGTTGAGGCCAATGGCGGACCCAAGTCACAATCGCCTCTACGTCACGCTATCTACAAGCGATATCCTCGCGGTTCCCCTGTCAGCGAGTCTTATTGGGCAGTGAACGTTGGGTGGCTCCATCGCTGACAGAGTCTGGCTCGGTAATTGGTGATCGGTGCGAAGAACGCGGCAGAATCAAATGCAGCTTCCTCTTCGGTGTTGCTACATGTTGTTTGGTCCAGAACCATTAGGTTGTTATCCCGCGGCTAGGCACACAAGAAGCTGGCGGAATTGAGTTTCTGTGGCTTCCACCGGGGCGTTTGCCCGACCGAACAAGGGCTCAATCGGTGTCGGGCCGTGGATGGGGCGTAGTCATTGCATCCGCTTACATAGCGTGCTACATCATTACACACCGCTGAATTCGTACATAACACAAACTCCGAATTGCAATGCTGTGGAATATGATGAGGTAAGTCGTAGATGAGAAAGACTAAGAGACGAACCATCTTGGGACGGCGCCACCCGTGTAGTGAGGTTCAAGCCACTGTGGCACCCGCCACCATGAATCACCACTGGATCGGGTCCACTGGAATGCTCGCTTGCCTCCTGCGCTTGGTCCCATTCCGACATCGAGGTCCAATACACCAGTGCCTGCTCCTGTGAATGAAGCCATCAAGAATCACGAATTTTACCAAAACAATATCCATCAAGACTTACAATCCCTTGCTCGGCCCAAAATGTCCTATACTCGTGTCGGTGTGGTAACTGGTGCCAACAAAGGCATTGGATACGCCGTCGGTGAGTTGCACCCAAGCTATTTGATGTCCATCACGTCATCGTCCAACTGACACTTCCCAACCGCGAACAAGTACGACAGTTAGCACTGCAATACCCAGCATCGCACTTGAACAACGGGTCTCTGCTCATCTACCTGACGGCCCGCGACAAATCTCGCGGCGAGGAGGCTTTGGCTGCCATCCGCGGTGATGCAGACCTTAAGCAAGCCAAAGCCCTGGCTACGCACGGCGGCCTCGCCGATGTCAAGTATCACCAGCTGGACATCTCAGACGCCAAGAGCATCGAGGGCTTGGCGGAGTTCTTGAAGAAGGAGCATCCTGACGGCATCGACTTCGTCATCAACAATGCCGGCATCGCGATGCAGGGGTTCGGTGAGTGGTCCCTGTCAGGCACATATCTCACAACCCTCCCGGCTAAGGTAACTAATGACATCTAGACTCAAACGTGGTCAAGACCACGATAGGCTGCAACTACTATGGCACCCTCAACGCAACACGAGCCTGGATCCCCATCCTCAAGCCCCAAGGCCGGATCATCAACGTCGCGTCCGTGGCCGGGGCCCTGAGCAAGTACTCTCCCCAGATCAAGGAGCGCTTCCTGGCTTCGCAGACGGTGTCGGATGTCACTAGGCTGATGGAGGACTTCTCCGCCGCCGTGGAGAAGGGCAATCATGAGCAGGAAGGGTGGCCGAGCGCGGCGTACGCCGTGTCCAAGGCCGGCGAGATCGGGATGACGAGGGCGATTGCGAAAGAGCTGGAGGACAGCGGCAGCAAGATTCTGGCCAACTCATGCCACCCGGGATGGGTGGTGACATCCATGACGAGAGGCAAGGGGACCAAGACGCCTGATCAAGGCGCGCAAACCCCTGTCCACCTTGCTCTGGCGGATATCGGAGGAAAGGCTGGAGAGTACTGGTCTGATGAGAAGGTGGCGAACTGGTAGGGGAGAGGTGGATGGCTTAGCCCGTATTAGTGGGCGCAGTTGAACTTCAGATGATTATTTGTAGATCGGCATCCATTGTCTGTAGTCCTGAGATGGATTAGCTACCGAATTATGAAAACAAGGAATCCGTCAGGTGGCACTCGTAGAGCTGGGACAAACTTGCAAACCCTCCTTAGCTATCATCCTCGTCGGAGTACGTCTCATCATCAGAGTTTGCAGATGACACATCATCCTCGGGCTCCACGTAAACGAGGTCCTCCTCTATGATTTCCTTCCAGCCGGGCAACGGGGCATCGGGCTCCCAGGCCAGCGGTTCGGGCTTTTCCAGCTCCTCCGTCCACTGATTCATCGTCCATCCCCGGTGTTCGTCGACAATCTGCTCAACGCTCCACGGATCTCCGACGTCGAAGTTGCATTTCACGACGGAGGTGCCCTCTGCGATATCTCGCAGAGCTTGCGGCCAGTTGTCGAAGGCCCAGTCGGGCGCATGGTGACCCCATGACTCTCCTTTCCTGTCAAACCAAGACAGGGCTGGAAGAATACCACAGTCGAGGGATTGGTTCCATGCTTCCTGCCAAGCCGCATCTCGCTGGACAATCCGTTGGAAAACTTGCGTGCTTTGCCAGGGAACGGGCTCGCCATCCAAAACCAGCGAGAATGCCCCCGGAGGCATGCCTGCGGGTTCGAGGGCCAAGGCTTCTCCAACCCAGCTGGAGACGTTCGCCGTGACCTGCGCCGAATCCATAGCCCAGAGCGTCTCAAGGTTTGAATCCATAGCCCAGGGCACGTGACGGTACTTGGCTTTGTATCGCGACTCCGGGGACCAACGATAATATCCGTCGCGCTGGAATGCATTCCTCCACAAGTTGACGCGGCGTTCCACGCGAAGCAGAGGGTTCTCTTGGCACAACGGAATCAACCCCAATGCGTGACACTGTGGATCCGCCACCGCTTCCCGATCTTCTTCCAAGACCACGCGGCGCAGTTGCTTGCGTATGGTAGGAGGCAGAGACTGCAGAACGTGAATTGCAGCTGCTGCGGCCGAGAAGCGGTAGTTTGTACGATCCCGGAGGCGGGTGGCCCTTGACACAAAGTCTGAATCTTTCATCTGACAGGAACTCAAATACTGCATGTCTTGCATGGACGGGATAGCCCAGTGCTCGATATTGCAGCGGACCACGAGAAGCGAAGGTATATGGGGAGCCCACCTCTCGTGCTTCTCATACCAGTAACGATCAAGCCGTTTACGGCCGGTTTCAGATCGAGCGATGGCCAAGAGTGCGTCTTTCTGGAAAGCACGGTAGACCGAGGGCACCTCGCCATACGTCCCCCACATGTGATGCGCTCCGCCTTGTCGCATCATTCGATCAAGAAGCTGGCTGAATTGAGGGAATTTGACCTTAAGCTGCCGACATGCCTCCGCTGAAATAGCGTGACCAGCGAACTTCAGCAATCCCTTTCGGTCGCCGTCGAAGCGTCCCACCATCAAGTTGTGAAAACGAGCGGCGAGGATGCGAAGCTCAGCCGAAGTGAATGTCGAGAAAGTGACTGTGTTGGTTCGTAGGGCGACACCGCTCATTTCTTGCGCCACAAGCTTGCAAGTGTAGCTCAGGTTTAGATCGATGGGCTGAAGATCAGCTCTCTGCAATATGCCAGAGACATCGAGACTGGCGGAGTCGGTTTCATCGCTGTGCTGGTTCAGTATTTATTCCACAAGCTTTTCGGGGTTGCAGGTGTATCCGCCTTCTGCAACTACGTAAAAATTGTAGATAATGTCTCGAATCTCGCGAGGAAGAGAAAGAAACCGGGGTTGGGGGGGCATTGTGATACGACGGGGCCGGCAAGGAGGATGAGAGCTCCCCGATGAGATGGGTGACAGATGAACTGAGTGCAGATGGCATGCTACTTTTTTGTACCCCGTGCATGTCTGCCTGACCGATAAGGAGGGCAGAAAAGGCCACCAGCTTCGCCCAAACTCTGGCCTACCGACATGAGTCAGACCCCACGTAAAGGGCGATGAGGACCTTTTGGGACACCCTCAAACTTTGGCATTGGGACAGAGACAGAATCCTCTCCTCTCCTCTCAACTCCTGTCACTTACGTCATAACCATTAGGGAAACTTCAGAGTAGGTTATGTAGTAGTCATATTTTCATCTTCTACCCTTTGAGCCCAGCCACATCCAATTTGTGGAGGTTTACGCCACACTATGAAAATTCTGTTTATACTTTGATAGATGCCTACTATGCATCGTGATGCTGTTTATGATAACCAGGAAAGCTTCGATCCAGGTTCGCAAGAATCTTCGAATGTTAGCGCATGTACACGAGAGAAAAAGGAGAGTCTTACATTGTCAATAACCTCAATGGCCTGCAGATGACTGAGATTATATAGGAGGAAGAACATGGGTCTGTTCTTCGGGTTAGGTTAGCTGTCTGAGACCTAGTCACTAGAAAGCGCAAACATCATACCTTCCTCTACCCATCAACCATCCCTGACAAGATCAACTCATCATGATTAAACTCGTTAGAATACTCGTCACCAACTGAAGAAAATATTAGTAATTTGCGACATAGTAAAGGGGAACGAACAGGTTACTTACATCAACAAACTGGAAAACGAAACAGAAGGTCGACTTCATCGCTCTAGCGAGAACGCATAAACGACAACTTCGGCTCTTCGCTAACGACATAAGCCCTGATATCAGATCCCTGGATAAATCTAGTGGTAAATATCATCACCAAATATCTGAATTAGAAAAGTCAATATTAGTCAAACCCACTACGTTACTGCGTCTTGGTATTAACATACTCATCTGCCGAATCGCCGCATTCCTCCTCTTCCAATCCGATAAGAAGATGCCTAGCATCAAAAAGCACCGAGCCGACTGGCGGCAACTCCACAAGATGCTCAGAGACAACGAGAAGATGGAAGAGGTTCAGGATGAGCTCGACGAGCTGGATAAACTTGTTGAAGCGGTAGCTCTTTGGTCTGACAGGTAGAAGAAGACAACTCACTTCGAAGAATACAAAAATGAGGTAATCGCGGCGATCGCCGTGATCCTCCCCGACTACTGAAGCCGACTGGGGAGCCAACTCAAGTCAGCATGGCTTGCAGATTGCACCGAAAGGTTGACAAGGTACTCACGAGAAGCGAAGGGAGAAGGGAAGGGGGGTGGTTGCAAGGGTAGCCTGCGTGCTGGCAGAGTTTCTTGAACGAGAACACGTTAGCATCATAGCGTGGAGACAAGAAAGAGGAGACACACCCAAAAAGTACACTTTAATACACTATGTCACTTCAAAGCGAAAGTGCGAGTGTTTCTTGGACGGTCCGTGAATCATGTGTTGGTCCGTCCAAGCAAACTGGTCAAGACCAAAGTGGTGAATGGCCCAGGTCGAGACCGCACGGGAGAAGTCGGTGAGCAAATCATCCAGGGAGCGTCGCTGCCTGGCGTGTGCGTGATACCGAGAAATTCTCCACTTCCAAACGGGAAGATTCTTTCTAGCACTGGCTAGAGAGGGGCAGTCGAAGATGAGATGTTCAACAGTGTGCTCATCTTGACCGCAAGAACACATGTCTGTGTCGGCAAGCTGGAACGGCGAAGTTAGCAACCGGTGGTCATGGATGAAAAAGAACGCCAAGTCGGTGCAAAGTGAAAGGTACGTAGGCTGAGAGGACCAGATGCCTAACAGTGTGGAAGGGTAATGACGAATGTGGATGTGGCATTGAACTTTCGTTCTTCGGGTGCAGGAAGGCCTTGAGGCCAATGTAGCCAGTCCTGCACTGGATCAGAATGGAGGACTGCGCCCGAGACAGGCCCTTGTACCGCTTGAGGTTGAAAGCGCCCCATTTTCCCTCAGCGGCAACAGGGCGGCCTCTGAGGCCGTAGGCGACCGTGCGAGACGGTCGTGGACGGTCGCGATATGCCTTCCAAAGATGCTCACTGAGGAGCGTCGCTTGCGCGCGGATGTACCGGTTGATGACTTGACTCCTCTTGCGAGGATCCATGTCAATCAGAGTGGCGTCGGCGAGGCCAGGCTTCGACCCCCGAAGCTGCTGCTCCGCCTCCTCGACGAGTTCCCGGGCGTGGTCGTAATCGATCTTGTATGGATGGGACTTCAAGAAGGTCATTTCTCTCTTGAATGGGAACGAAGTGGTGTTGATGAGGTCGTAGTCATCGGTGAAAATATTGCGGGCACGGTGTGACATGGCGACTCGCTGCAAGTAGACGGCGATTGGGTCAACGTGAAGCTCCTTGCGGAGCGGGACGGTGGGCGCCTTCTTGTAGGCACCGGCGACAGTGACCAAGCATTCGTTCTGAAGATTGTCCAGGCGATGGATGTAGGGTTGTCGAAAGTTGTAGGTCTTGGAGGAGTCGTTGCCAAGCATGAACCAGGCAGGGCAGGCATAGGAGATGATGGGACGGATGGTGGAGAGGTACAGCTGCCTCATGTGAAGGAGATTCGGCCCCGAGACAGATGTCGACATGCGCTTCAGCTGGTTCAGCTTCTTGCGGACCTTCTCCTCGATCTGTTTGTAATTGTTAGAACATCTCAAGTGGTCATGAAGGGAAACTTACCTGGTCGATTTGCCATTTCCAAGTCAACTGATGGTCGACCTGAACGCCAAGAATACGAAGGCCACCTTCGTCCGTCTCTTTCACCAGGTTTTCTTCCGTCAGAAATGGTAGGTTGGGGATGTTCTGGGGCGCAGACGCTGCGTTCAAATCGCCGTGGGGCTTGCGAAAGTGCATGACGTTGTACTTCGCAGGATCGAAGCGGAGACCACGGGGAGTAGCCCAGTCCACAATCTTCTGATGACACTCCTCCAAAATGCGACAATTCTTTTCCCAGTCATCGGTGCATACCATGATGTAGGTGTCGTCGACGTAAGAAAGGCCAAGAAGGATTCGGCTCCGGCCCAGATTCTGGCGCTGCAGGATATCCAGGATGGGAGCGGCAAACAACGTAAAAAGGATGGGCGAGAGGGGGCTTCCCTGGGGAATCCCAACATTGACCCAAAACTTCGCCGAGGTGTGTCCTGGAAGCTTGACACAAGTGCATTGATCCGACAAGAATGACCACACAAATCGCAAAGCCCACAGCGGTATGCCCTTTTCGGCGAAAACCTTGATCAATTCCTGACGGTTGACGTGGTTGAAGGCACCTGAAATGTCGAGACCTACGAGAGTAGTCCGCCACTTCTTGTCCGTTGTAGTAGTCGCGCACCAGCCATTGAGGACGGTGTTGACGATCAGCTCTAGTGCCTTGGTACAACTCTTCCCAGCAAACCCATACTGCGTGGGAGGAATGAGGCCGTATTTGAGTGCGAGGCGTTGAAGATCGTCCGCAACCAATCGCTCCAGAGCCTTAGCCACACAAGAAAGGAGGGCGATAGGCCGATAACTCTTCGGTAACGTGTAGTTGTCCTTTCCTTCCTTCTTCAAGACCACAGTGTAGGACTCCTTGAAGCATTCGGGGTGGTGGTTGAGGTTGACACAAGCCTTGAAGAGATGAACGAGGTAGGGCAAAATGACGTCCAGTGTCATCTTGAGGACGTCACTTGGAACACCGTCTGGGCCAGCTGCCTTGCGGCTGGGAAGCTTCCGAATGATACGGGACACCGTATCTTCATCAACCTTTGGGGGCCCTTCTTTTGCCAATGCGCGTAACAAGGCGGCTTTCTGGAAGCTATTGTTACGGTCCGGCCTTCTACCCAAGACAGTATCACCAAGGAGGCCAGCCAGAGATGCAGGCTCAGGTGATTGAGTGTTAGTAGAATCGTTGACCGCTCTTGACGATCCTGCCTCGTTGCTGCTCGATATCTCGTCAGTCCTAGATGGAGACCTTGACCGAGACTTCGAACGCGTGGTTGACAAAGGATGGCGAGAACCAAGAGGGCGGGCGCCGTTGCGGGTTCCATCGCATGATCCAGGCCGTGATCCAATAGCACTGAATGATGGGGACGATCTGATGGATTCCGGTATCGTGGCCGAACAAGGCTGACTGGCGGGAGATGGGCTCGGAGAGCCAAGGCCAGCAGCGGCAACTAGGGCAGGCTGACTGACAGGAGATGGGCTCGATGAGGCCGTGCAAGTAGCGGAGGGTGTTGTTGGCGGACTAGACAAGCTAGTCTGCTCGGCCGAAGCGATAGGGCCGGATGGCTGAGTCACAGGATAACTGCACGAACTGAGTGAGCCAGGCGATGCGCGGACGGAACATATGGATGTTGTTGATGCCAATGCTGGTATAGAGCCATCAGAGGAAGTGGAGGTAGCGACGCTGGATGTGGGGGAACCAGAGCTGGGCGCAATATCAGCTGGAGGTTCTGTAGACGAAGAACCGTCTTGCCCAGGTGGACAGACTGTAGTCTCCTTATCCTTTCGGGTCTTCTTCTTCTTCTTCGGCTTTGACTTTTTCCGTGAAGGAGTCGACAGAGCGTGGCCTGATGCAGCTGAAGCACGAGATCGCACCAGGGTAGGTGGCAACTCCGTAGGAGCCAGGCGCTCTTCGCTTGTGTCGGACCACATCGCGTCGCGAAAACAGCGAGCGTTCTCCTCGGAGCTTGCGCAGGCTGTGCCGTCCGGCTTCTTGAGCCATGGCATGTGAGGCGAGGCCCTGATCTTGCCGTAGAAGCGAGCCGATCTTGCCATAGCAAAAAGGCTTGAGAGGTCTTTGGCTTGCTGAGCGCTTCGGGTACGCTTCCCTACGTTGCTGGCGATACGCATAAAACGGTTGGCCTGCTTGACGGCGTCCAGCCATACCGCGTAGGCGTAGTTGTGGGCTCGAGTCCCTCTTTTCTGCCGGTAAAGGACGCGAAGTGCGTGTTACTCGCGCAAGAGTCTCTCTTGGACCACGCGTGTTCGCACTGGAGGCTTCTGGCCAACGGGGTTGCGGATGATGGTGGGAATGGTGGCATCGATCGCGGCCTTGGCGGACACAACAAAGGCTTTGGCGAACTGGTCGAGCTTGTCGGTGGTGGACAGTTGATGCTGACGCAGCTGAGATGGATCGCCGAATTTGGCAAGGAGACGAGTGGCCATCTCTGACCGGACGACGTCGGGGTCTGCCTTGTCAATCTGAAGGACCGGGGTGTGATCCCGATTGGGCGACACGTTGAGGACTGTCTCGAGTACTGCGTGGTCCGTGGTAAAACCACGCGGCCTCGTGACGTGAAAAAGCTCGCAAAGGTCCTTGAGCCTTTCACCGAGAAAAACCAGGTCGATGGTAGTCTGCGTCTCCCCTCGCTTGAACGTGAAGTCCTTTGGCTTCAGAAGACAACGCATTCCGGCAAGTCGAGTCTCGATCTCCAGCTGCTTCGTAGCCCTATCAGAAAGGTGTCGGTCGCTCCAGGCCCGATGACGAGGATTGAAGTTGCCCAAAAGAATGCAATAGTCGGCGACAGCTTCGCGGAGGAGAAGGTTGAATGCGATCGTGTTGCGGGTGCGGTTGTACGCGCTGAAGACTTTGATCCTGTCGCCGCCGACCAAGTCGAGGGATAGAGACGCAACATAGTGTTCGTTGGCACCTTTGTCCCACTCGACGGACCATGACGCCAAAGCCAAAGACTTGTGCACATAGAAGGCAACGCGGCTCGACGCTAGCACTTGCACGTTGTTCTCCATCTCCACCTCGTCCTTGGCATTGAGTTTCGGCCAGCCATGTTGAGCCTCACACCAATAGCCGGCGGGTTCTCTCTTCGAATCCGTGGCAAAGTCGTAGGGAGGGTCCTGGATGGCAATGAAGGCAGGGGCGCGGTCCAACGACTTGACATGCTCAAAGAGGTCATTGAGGCGATCCCAGTTCTTGTTGACGTTCGCCTGCAAAAAGCCGAGGCGGTCATCGAGATCTGGGGTCACTTGCTGGTCCCTAAGGACGGCCTCAATCACGTCGTCAGTCGATGAATCTGGGCGCTGGGGAAGCACCGAGTTGAGGATGGGATATGAGATCTGGTGATCATCAGACACTGTGATACTTGTTCAGAGCTAGGCGTGACTTACGGGACGTTGTGACTGCTTTCTTCCGCTGTGGCGGGTAGCTGGATGGACGAAAGTCCGGGTCGGGGGCAGGATTCGCGTCATGGCTTATCGCGAACTGTGCGACGGGGAAAAGACGTCAGTGACCCTGGTCAAACGGAAGAGGATGAAGGTTCTCGTTCCACAGCCCCTTCTCGACGTTGGGTTCATGTGGTTGGTGCCTGCCCCTGCGCCTGCCCCTGCGCCTGCCCTGCCAGTTGCGCCTGTCCCGCCTCATGCAAGCCATACGGGGGTGTCGAGAAGTAGTGTGAAACAAAAGCCTCCAAGACAAAAAAAGAAAGAGACGGCGACTCACGGTGACTGGCCCACTGGGTGGGTTGGCCAAAGACGGACGTTGACCAAAAACGGACAGGGATCCACTGCAGCAAGCCACAACCTCCGGTCGTCCCGGACCCCTAGGCCGCGAGTGGGGCCTTGGGTACCGGGGACCGGGGGCGGCGCACGGATGGTGAAAGCTGCAGTCAGGCCCAACGACCCTTGACAATGACAGATCACACTGGCCTGGGTGGGCACGGTGCGGGGAGAATAAAACGAGGGTCGTGACGCCGTTGGGTTGTGAGCTAGGCACGAGTTATGTATTCTCAGCAGCCAGGCGCGGCATCCAGAGCCAGGAGGAAAGAAAGCACGGTGTGAGAAGCGTGGTGCGAATAAATAAGACCAACGGCAAGAGCTGTCCTGGCGGATCTGTGTCCAGAGGAAAGATAGCAGAGCAGAGGAAGGAATGGCCTGTGATAGGAGGTGTGGAAGGCGTGTAATAAAGCGAAAGAAGCAGCCGGAGGTCTTTCCTCTGCCCGTGCACATGATCCATCTACACCATCATAGGTAAAATCATAATGAAAAGCTTTATAGGTAAAATCATCATGGACACCGCGACAGATCAGTAAAAGTGATCCGTGTAAATGGTGTGCCGACGCAGTGGCCATGAAGCCGGTATTTCCTCTTCGGGCTTTGCAGGGCCTTGTCTGCCTGGGGAAACCTGTTGAAGCCGTGCCTTCTTCTTCTTTTCCTTGGTCCGTTTATCCCCCTTCGTCCTGCTTCTTTTTTTTAATTGGTCACTTTTGTCTCTCCTCTTTTTCCATTCTCCCTTTTACGCAATAGATGACCTTCTTGGTGGCCTCGGTACTGGACATGCCAGCGCCTCGGGTCAGTGTGTTACTGATTCGAATCATGTTCAGACCACCGGAGGCTTTACTGATTGGAATCATGTTACGGCCACCTCTCATCTGATATAAATCGTCGCCGACTCCGGCACTGATCCATCCACTCAATATCACCAACTTCCCCTCTCCTGCCAACATCGCATCTTGGCCTCGTTTTGCAGCCGTTTTTTACACCTCCATGCGACAAATATGAGCCAATACTCTCACTGGTCCCCAGGCCAGCAGCATCCTCATGGCGTATTCCAGACACCATCGCAACCTCAGTTCGTGACACCGTCTGCGCAGAACGATCTCGATGAGCCTTTTGGTTACTCCAATGACCAACAAGCCATTTTCGAGTCTACTGTTGCACATGGGTACCAAGACGGTCCATCTTTGTTCTCTTCTGAGAATAATGCGTCTGGTATGTCCACGGGCGATGGGGAATGGGGTTATGGGTCAACCATGATGGACGTAGATTCCTCGGCGGGGTTCGTTTCTTCTCAGGATCCTATTGGTACCAGGCCACATTCTCTTCAACCCACGGCGCCTGAGTACTTTCCATCACCGCCAACACCAGCGGTGGCAATCCCATTGTCAACATGGCCAACTGCGCCCAACACTCGCTTGCCGCCAGTTCCTGTCGCATTGCAGCTATCATCCAAAAATCACGGCGACATCAACGATACACAGTCCTATTCCAGCGAGGTATTCTTGAACGCCAGCAACACGTCGCCATCCAATGCAAGCAACCTACCGCCGTCGAGCACCAGCAACATAGCACCTTCCAATGCCAGCAGTTCATCCCCATTCAACGCCACCAATCCATCGTCATCTAACGCCGGAGGTTCATCACCATTCCATTCCGGCAGCCCATCGTCACCCAATGCCGGTGGTCCATCACCGTCGGTTTCTGATAATCCCTCGCCATCCAGGACGACGGCCAACGCTAATAGATCGAAACCAAGGACGAACAACAATTACAAGACGACCAGACCGGCCCGAAACAGCAGCGACAAAGACGCGGACAAGTTGTTATTCAAATTGACCAAGCTAGAGCTCATGCTGCAAAAGCAAATGGACCTTGGAGTTCAGTCATCCAAGCCTTCCATGTCAGACCCCTTGGCCAACTACGCACCGGGACTCGTCAAGCGAACGATCCTGGCGCCAACCCAAGCAATTCGTCAACTCGACTCCGACAGGACATCGGCCATGAAGATGTTAGAGAAGGAGCGTCCAAAGTGGGGACTGGTCCGTCGCATCTACATCCGTCACGGCGCGGTCTACTTTGTCTACAAAAACATCAACGACGCCATGACATTTCAGCCTGACCCAGATTCCATGGCGCGGGCGCTGGGTACGGATGTCACAACCTTCGAGTATTTCCCAGAAACGTACTACGTTGAGATCATTTTTCACGGCAAAAGGATTCACAGAGACGGTATGTTGTCTCATTTCTTTCCCTTTCAAGAATACTACTGACAGGCTCGCCTCAGTCCAAAATAAGGTTAATTATGAGCTTATGTTCGAGGACTATGACATCAAGTTTGGGACATCGAACAAGTGCATGATGAAGGGCTCGCGATTCATCCTTCAGCTTGGCGATAAGGAGACCGCATGGCGGTTGTTGTCTGCGTACGAATCTTCAATGGATGACTTCCAAATTGACTACTGCAGAGCGGATGTTCGGTAAGTTCGGATGCCTTCGAGGTATGGCATTGCTAACAAAACGTGAAGCGCCATCGACATTCGGTCGGTGTGGAGTTTCTGCTTCCACTGTGCGGAGCCTGGCCACATGAAGAAAGACTGCTCGTCTGTAGCTCCACGCTGTGGACGCTGTTCCTCAGGTGAACACGAGTCTCGGGATTGCGAGTCCGAAGTCATTGAGTGTCCAAACTGTGGTGGGTCTCACACAGCATGGTGCTCTGTCTGCCCTGACATGAAGCGATATGACATGATGCAGAAGTGTCTGGGGTTCGCTGGCCTGGAGCCGCGGTGGGCATCTGCCAAGCGCAAGGAGGAAGCCGCGAAGAATTCTCCTGCTGGGGAATCATCAGCAGCTGAAGGCTCGGCATCTTCCCCGATTGACTTGTTCTCTGACAGCGTCTCTCACGCTTCATCGGACAAGTGCAAGGGAAAGGCTCCCGAGTCTTTTGCAGCTTCTGTCGAGCCAATGGATTTGCACCCTGGCGGCCGCCCTGTCGCTTCTGGCATCGGTCACAACAGCAGAAAGACCAAGAGCAAGGCCACAGCTGCTGACCGCAACATTACCCCCCAGAAGGGTGGTGCGAAGAGGGCCCGCTTCAGCCATTCAAGTGAGCTTGAATCGCAGGCTCACTCATTGTCGGCGAGCTCCCAGCATCGACCAGCCACGTCGCAGGCAGCGCAATCTGATTCCCGCCAGAGGAGTCCGGGCCGTGGTCCGTCAGCGAGCACTCGCCCTGTGGGCTCGTCGTCACTCGCGACGCAACGGACGACCGCGTCACTGCGGTCGTCGAGTACTGCCGTGAAGAGTTCCAACCCTTCGACTTCTCGTGCGCCAGCAAATCTCGCTCGGCCGTCGAGGAATTCGCCGTCGCGGATGCCGGCCACCACGGCGCGACAGACCACTTCCTCACAATCCCGATCATCGCCCACCTCCATCCCCTCTTCCCGGGCCGCAGCTGTATCTTCCAGATGTATCTTCTCCTCCAGCCGTGCCGAGAACTCCCACGAAGACTTCTGTGTCATCTGCAGGTTCTCCTACATCTCGCAGGACTTCTGGCACGAGGCTTGCCAGCACCGTCAGCACACCTCGCACCTCTCCGTCCAGCGCTGAAAATCAGTCATCACGGTCTCCCACCAAAAGTGCATCTCCGAGGGCCCGCACTCCAGACAGCACCCCTCCCAGTGCCCAAGAGCCTCAGCCTGGGCCTTCAACTGCGTCCCCTAGGTCCAGAGCTGCATCTCCTAGCACAAGACAAAGTCCTCGGTCGAGAGTCCCTCCCCCTCGTCGGCCCAATCAAGCGCCAAGTCCTCATTTCAAGACTAAGGGCAACAACTTCTTCTGCCGGAAGGCAAACGGAACACCGACCATCATATCCACCTAATTAGCTTCAGAATTCAGGGTCCAGGGACCCAGAAACAAGGATGGCACGGTGGCTTCGGGTACCGTGTACACTCAAAAGATCTGGATTCCCTCTCTCACCCCGCCCCCCTCCACCCCTTCCCTTCCGGTCACGTCCTCTGGCTGACTGTGTGTTTGCTCATCCACACTGTAGACAAGGGGTTAATTGCTCTATTTCAGCTCAATGCCGACTAGGGAGACACTGTGGACGCTGAAGGAAAGCCAAATGGCTACCGCCGCAGCCTCCTTGCTCCGGGCCCTCCTTCTTGCCCGCTCTTCCCTCCTGCCGCCGCCTGCACGACCGGAGCTTGCTCCGGATTAACGCGGCAACTTGATAAAAAAGAAATTCCAATTTGTCCCTCCTCGCACAGGGCTATATCACAATAGTCACGAAACGCATAGATACATGAAAACAATAACTAAACAACAATCTGCAGGGCGATCACACTCAACAACGATGGTCAGTCAATAATACTGTCAAACAGTCAGATGACGCGCCGGCGTTGCTTCGCTTGGTCCTTCATATGGCGGAGGCTCCTTCGCGGCCCCAGCTCCTGACTGCCTGCTGGGCTTCAAGCAACTTGTTTGATAAGATTCTCGTCAAGCTCTTCGTACTGGAACGTGGTATAAACAGATCGTTATGGAATAAAGCTCTTTGGGATTACTTGACACCCATTCTCATGTTGATGTCATAATCCATCACTCAAACAACCAGTCGCACCCGATCGTTATGATTTCTCCATTGCACACGACGGCAACCCTACCGCATCACCAATAACATTCTCATACGCCGGCGCCGATCCGCTGGGCCCATCATACGCCGGAGGCTTCTCCGTGACTCCAGCCTATGCAGCTGCCACCCCCTCAGCCGCCGGCAGCACGACAACCTTCTGAGACCCGCTGCACTCCCACGACTCTCCCGCGATGACGAGATGCAACACCCATTTCAAAGTGTGTGAAAGCGAAAAGCAGTACGTAGCGTAGTCTGGCTTTAATGGATAATGACGTCTTTGCTCGTGCAGCTCCGGGTCCGCAGACGCATCCAAGAGCGCCCCCAGATCCAACGCACTCTCCCCCGCGGCTGACGGAATCAAGGGTGACCCAGTCTCGCTCGCGATCGTTCGGCCGAGGGGTAACGTCGTTGTGCTGGTTCCCTCATGCACTTCTCCTGAGCCCGGGCATGACACACGCCCCGTACTAATCAGGTTGATCACCGCGTTCGTCAGATATACCTTCTGCGGGACATCTCGTAGAATCTCGGAGCTCTTCATACAGTCAGGGGTGACCTTCAGCCTGAACGGAATCGAGGCAGGGTTGCCCAGTTGGATGACGGAGGCACACTCCACCCGCAGGTTGAAATGCCAGGCCGGCACCCTCTTCGAGCCGAGGAACATCTGCCTCTTCTGATTGAAAGTCAGCTCCGCGTGCTCCATCCCCGGCGCGAGCCGATGGCTCGTCACGCACCCTGCCGTCGTCGTGCCCTGCAGTTCAAAATCCGTGACTAACGCCGGCGCCGGCTGCGACAACACCCGCACAGGCAGTGTCGCCTCGATGGCCTCCATCTTCTTCCCCTCGACCAGTATCTCCGCCTCCAGGTAGTACTCCACGAACCCGTACCCGTCACAGATATTCATGCCAGACGTCGCCGGCAGTGGCTGCTCCGGCAGAGGCTGTTTGCCGTTCGGGTCCCCCGGCGCGCGGAGGTAGCTCGCCTCCCGTTCGATCTTTCTTAGCCCCGAATTCAGGGCTTTGCCATCCGTGTGCTTCGGTATCACCAGCGTAAAGGGCCAGGTCTGCGAAGCGGTGTCGGAGTCTGGTGCGATGTGCACTGGGCCCCGGTGGATGACTTGAGACACGGCGTTGCGGCTCCAGAACTCGAAGCCCGCACCGAGTATGACCACGGATCTGCCTTGTTGTACTTGAAGCCGGGCGGCGGAGTCGCCGATGAGACATATGCGGAGGGTAGCGGAGGCGGCGACCATGTGCGATTTGCGGGTGACGTGGCCGCGGATGACGGAGCCGGGGTACAGCGGCGCGGAGGGATCGAGCAGATGAATTGAAAGGTCTGGGCCTTGTCGAGTTTCAATCGGTTGTATCATTACGGCTGCCTAGTGTCGTCCTTCACCCCTGGGGATGATGTTGGTGCTGATGGGTTGATGATGCAGAAGGAGGATATGTGTTTTCAGATGGCGTTAATACAGATATTTAAGACATGAGAAAGGAGATCCATCAGAGACTTCTGGCTAATATATGTTAACATGATTAAGGTATCCCAATTGAGGCCCCCAAGACGGCACGGCAGGACACCATCAGCAAGCCAAGAAATAAACGAATACGCGACCTCTTTAGCGCGTGTGGCGCCATTTGCCCGAGTTGAAGCTGGACTTCACTGAGCAGAACTTCTGTGTAACCTCATTGGCTGCTTTATTGCTGTCTGACAGGGCAGCTTGTTGTAAGGTTGTCGACTCCCTGTCGCAGCGCTGGCCCTAATTTCAGCTCCAAAGAGCCAGAATCTCCAGCCCGCCCCAGACAACACCCAATGAGTGGCTTTGAAGAGATCAGAACGCCAGCCTTCGTCTCACTTTTCTAATTAAATCGGGCCAATCGAGCTTAGCGTAACCGTCCTGGTGGTGGTAGCTGACACAGGAACGCTGAATGTCTCTATGTCGATAGTAGACTTGCATAGGACGAGTTCTCATATGTTTACAACTGGAGCTCCCATTTTTTCCCCCGATCATATGTATACATATGACTAAATACATCATCATGATTCTTGTTTTTTCTTATTTGCACTCACCTAGTGCCGAAATTTCCCCTTCAAGGCAAGCAGCAATCACTGATAAGACATTCTGCGACCCTCCACTGCAGGCGGGTCACCCCGGAAAGCAGCAGCCAACCAATTCCACAAAGCTGGAAATCGAGGTCCCGCTGCAATCTAACATGTACCGCATCTGCAGCTCACCGCGGGGAACCTCGTGCTGTGCTTATCAGCTGACGCGTGAGTCTTTAAAGAAGCGGTGCCTTCCCTTTTTCAGCTCCTTCTTTTTTGGTGACCGCCTACACCGAGGCGGAATATCGTCACTACGACCGGTCTGACCGAGAGAATCAAGATGCGTCGGTCTGCTGCCGTCTTGGCGGCCTTTCATGCTTCGCTAGTCTGTGGCGCCGACTATGCGTGGCCCAGGAATTCCAGCATAGAGTCCCCTTCGGTATTTCCTTTGCTCGAAAATGCCGGCACCGCGGATCTCTTTCCCATGCCGCCGTGCGGGAACTTCATCCTCCACGAGGCCACCATTGACCAGATGAAAGCGGCTATGGAGGCTGGCACGGTAACTTCTCAGCAGTTGGTAGCCTGTTACTTGCAGCGGACGTACCAGACACAGGAATACGTGCAGTAAGATGTGCCGACACCCAACTTGGCGTAACTCAGTATATTAACGAAACACAGTTCGATCCTCCAAATCAACCCAGACGTCTTCCAAATCGCAGCTCAGATGGACGCTGAAAGAAAGGCCGGAAAAGTCCGTGGCCCACTCCACGGAATCCCCTTCACAGTCAAAGACAACATCGCTACCAAGGACAACATGGAGACTACGGCCGGTAGCTGGGCTCTGATGGGGAGCATCGTCCCACGCGACGCCCACGTGGTGGCCCGTCTGCGAGATGCCGGCGCAGTCTTGCTCGGCAAAGCGGCGCTCAGCGAGTGGGCTGATATGCGTAGCAATAACTACTCCGAGGGGTATTCTGCGCGCGGAGGGCAGTGTCGGAGCCCGTATAACCTGACTCTCACGCCTGGGGGCAGCAGTACGGGAAGTGCGGTGGGCGTTGCTGCGAATGCGATTGCGTTCTCGCTTGGCACCGAGACTGACGGGAGCGTGATCAATCCCGCTATGCGGAACTGTGTTGTTGGGTTTAAGCCGACCGTTGGTCTGACCTCAAGGGCTGGGTAGGGAACGCCATAATCATGCGTGTGAGGATTGTCAGCGTGCTGACTTGATCAGGGTTGTACCTGAGAGCGAGCACCAAGATACTGTTGGAACCTTTGGACGTACCGTCAGAGATGCGGTGTATGCCTTTGACTCAATCTATGGCGTGGATCACCGCGACAATTACACCTTTGCTCAAGAAGGAAGAACTCCCGAAAAGGGATACACCCAGTTCCTGTCTACAAAAGAGAGCTTGAAGGGCGCTACATTTGGCATACCGTGGAACAGCTTCTGGGTCTACGCCGATGACGAGCAAAGAGGCATCCTCGTAGCCATGCTTGGTCTCTTGACTTCCGCTGGAGCGACGATAATCAACAACACGGAAATCACCGACTACGAGCGCATTGTAAGCCCAGACGGTTGGAATTGGGACTACGGAACCACCCGAGGTTACGCAAACGAGTCTGAGTACACCGTAGTCAAGGTGGACTTCTACAACAACATCAACACCTACCTCTCTGAGCTTGAGAACACCAACATCCGCTCCATTGAAGACATCGTCCAGTTCAATTACGATAACGACGGGACTGAGGGCGGAAACCGCTGGCCACTGGGCCATCCCGCATTCTACTCTGGTCAAGATGGCTTCCTTGCGTCCCTCGCGTCGAAAGGCATCAAAGATGAGACCTACAATCAAGCATTAGAGTTCACGCAACGATCCACGAGAAACGGCATCGACGCGGCCCTCACTGCCACTAACGGAACGAAATTGTCAGGGCTTCTCGTTCCTCCCGACGTAGGCCAGTCGTACCAAATCGCTGCACAGGCGGGGTACCCCATGATCACCCTCCCGGTCGGCGTGCACTCCAACAGCGGCATGGGCTTCGGGCTGGCAATTATGCAGACGGCGTTTGGTGAAGCTGAGCTGGTCAAATGGGGAAGCGCGATTGAGGACCTGCAGCTCACGACTGAGGGAAACCCGTACAAGCGCACGCTGCCTACTTGGTCGGAGTATCTCACTAGACATGTCCCGATTAGGATGGATCTTTAAAGAAAGAAGATGACCGCTAGACTGCGCACTGGGAGATTTAATAGCTATATTTCGGTTGCTGTGACGGTGTCTGCCATAAGGCGTCGGGAGGGACGTCGGCTCACGGCACCTCGAGGCAGCTAAATAGTAATTGCCGACCAACGGCGCCGTCTTTTAGCTATCCTAGCTCGTTTTTCCTAACGACCGATGCTCCGCCAACAATTCCTTCAAGGCAGAACGGTTCGTCCGAACTGGCATAAACGGTCAGCCCTGGTTGTACGTACTTAGCCCAATCGGGTTTTAGGATTTCAGACCTTGCCGTGAACGATATGAAAAGGGTCCGCACCATTTAGGCTTCTACATTCTTGTGACATCCCGGTTTATGTCAGCGTGGCGTGGGCCTCAATTCCCGACGCTAATCACCCTGACCACGCAGAGATCGCCAGGGTTCTTCTTCCGAAGACAAGCCTCTTCAGCCATGACGGACGAGGTCTTACAGTTGCAAGGCGTGAGTAGTTGCTCCGTGGCGCGGTATGTCAGCATGCAGACCGCCGGGGGGAAAGATAGCTGCACAGCTCAGCTGTTGTGTGAGAAACTACCCTAGCTGGGAAATAGCATGTATCGCTCAGCCCCCCGATCCCTTGAGGAAAATGAGAAGAGGGTCCATCCCGCTAAAATCTCACGACGCCGGAATAGGGAAAAAGCAGGGCCTGAAAGCGGCGCCTATGAACCCCGTCCATGGAGCTGTTTAAAGACCAGCAGTCTGCTGTCGGAGGAATTCCTCACAAAGAACAGAGCCCGACAGCTGTGATTTGAAGCGCAGACGACCAATCTCCCAATATGAGCCGTGACTTTCTCTCTCTCGGCGCGGCGGGTCATCTCCCCCAAGACCCTTACCTCCCGCAGGTGGATCCCGAAGGGCCGAGTTTCCTCGACACGGCTGCATGTCTCTGTGCACTGCGCACAACGGGCGACAGCAACTCAGAAGCGGCTTGGCACTGCATCGGTAACCAAACGCAAGGAGTGTATACAACCACCAGTGGGAAATGGTTCCCGACGGTTAATGGAGGCAACGCTGTCGACGGCAAGGTTGACGACTTGTCGAATGGCCCGGACACTAACAAGCCGATGCGACTGAGCTCTGGGTCGTTGACGGACCTGACCAATGACGACGGGCTGAGTGTGTACGATCGAGCCTGTACTGGAACGAACCGGCCTTCTTTCTCAACGACATTCTACGCGGCATGGAGTGAGATCCAGAGCAACCAGCAACCGAAGAGCGCGGCGCCGTGTTACAGGCCCGATGGCCAGGCCGTCCCCATTCGGATCGTGGAAGCCGACGACTGGAATGCTAACGGGTGCGCTCCGGGGTTTTTGTGTAAGTGTTCATCAGGGTCGAGCACGGAGAATCTGCCCACTGACGACCACAGGCGAGAATAACACCGTCAATTCGTTGCCCCAATACTGCCCTCCCGCCGACCAATGTCAGATGGCAAGACTCGCCTCGATGACTTGCATGGTGAACGGGCAAAACTTCCCCATGGGCCCATTCGAACCGGTCGTCTGCCAGCAGGGATACTACTGTCCACCGCCCGGAGTAGAAAAGATCCAATGCCCAAAGGGCACGTATTGCCAACCGGGCGCCACCAGCCCGACGCCATGCCTCACCGGCAGTCGCTGCGAAGCGGGTGCGACATACGAGCTGTTCCTCGTTCCCCTGGTTGTGCTCATCCTCGTCGACGTCTTGGTAATCATGGGCATCATTGTCTACGCGTTGCGTAAGAGGGTGAAAGATTACCGGTCAGATCATGCGTCAAACATGAAGCGCCCCTCAATAAGCGGCGTGAAGGCGCAGATCACGGGCTATAAGGCCTTGCAGCACGACACCGACCACGAGATGCTTCCCATGAGCGCAACGTACACCCCGAACCGGACGGATACCCACGGCACAGGTTTCCAAGCCGCCCTGGACTACGATCACCACCAGTGGACGGCGGGTGCGCAACCCAAGGAGGAGGTCAACCCCCAGCTTCTCAAATTCGTCGAGTCCATGCGCCGGGCCACGGATGCGACCAACCTCGGTCTGTCCTTCAGCTACACGGATCTCAGCTTCCAGCCGAAGAAAAGCAAGAAGATGATTCTG